AAAGTGTTGTCGCAGTGGCAGACCATACCAGGAGAAATAGTACTCTGAAACAACTGTGATGTATGGATATACCACTAGTGAGTGGTATGAAGTTTTTTTTTGTGTGTCTTTTCAACGTCTTCTCATCATCAGCATGGTCGGTGATGCTGCTTCAGTGTAAAAGGACGGTAGACTGGCACATCAACAACTCGGATGTCCTTTTTGTTGTAAGAAGTGAAATTGGTGCGATATATATGTTTGTGTGTGTATTTCTGTGCTTGTTCACACAGCATGGTTTGTATTTATTATGTTGTTGTTTTCCCTTTTTTGTTGTTGCTGCTGTTGTTTCTCCTGCGGTAATCGTCATCACCATAATCATAGTTTTGCAGTCACTCCTGATTTTACCTCTGTTTTGTGGCGCCCGTCTGCTTGGCGCCAATTTTTCCTCCCCCCCCCCCCAATATTTTTTAATACAAAAAGGAATTTCATTTTCATCTTTGATATTGCTCCATCAGGGAATAACTTGAAGTGAACGAGGAAATTGGGATGGATAGGGTTTGGGGTAAGGAAACGTGTTTACTGGGAGAACAAAAAGAAACATTCCTGTATGAACTTGTAGTATTTAATATGCCATACTTAAAGGTTTGTTTATCTTTCATGATTCCTTGACAGTGCTACGATTATGAAGTCGTGTGTGTGTGTGATAATTATGTGACATACAAATATACTTAAGCTTTAAAAATATTATAGAGATTTTGTAGGGAAAATGATTAGTTGTTTTTTTAATTTTTTTATAAATACCAGACAGATTACTGTCCCCAGAGACGATTTAGTGTGTGTGTATATATGTATTTAGCTCTTAAATATTAATGGTGAAAAGTATGACTTCACAATTTTACAGAATTAATCATTCGTATGAAAGTCAAAAAATCAATCCACTACGTCGTCTAAATTTCTCCCAGAACAAGCTTTACACACACCAACATATTAACATTCTCATGTAAAAATAGTTGACAATTTAATGCGTTCATTGAAGAGCGAGCATGAGACACGTGTCCACTTGATGGCACTACTCTGTTCGCCCATAGGCTTTCCCATGATGACGCTGCAATTTTCAAAGTTTTTGCCTAAACTAAATAATATTTTATGGAAAACTTAGACATAGAAGTTCAATCATTGTTCATAGATGAAAAGGTTTCACTACGTCATAATCAAGTACTGGAATCTACGTCGATACAAGTACTCAAAAATAGATATGATAATGATGATACTTTCTCAGTTACAAATTAGTTTGTTTTACTTTCGAAATTTATGCGTGTGTGTCGTCGGTGCGGAAGTATGATAATGTGTTTTAGAAATTGAAAATGTTAACTATATATAACGAGCCACCCCTTGTCACAAGAAAGCAACAATTATTCATGGCATGCACAGTGGGGCAATTATGATTTCTACAACACCTATTTAGAAAGTATCAGTCGGTTTGCCGACATACAGGGTGAGATAAAAAAAAAACTACAACAAAGTCAAACGCCATAATTTTACATATTTTTATAAATGTTATTGAATGCATCAACTTTATTGAATGCATGAATAGCATCAAATATATGAATAAGTTTAGATTTTTTTCGAATTGGTCACCTTGGGCCTTCAAACGGCCAATGAAACCGCCACACGCAGCCCGAATGTTGCCCCGAGCGCATTTTTCAATAATTGCGAATGGAATATTGCGATATGGTCAGCTCACGAGCCATTTTTCGGCCACTGCGATCGATCAAGTCGCTTCTTTACTTTTCGAACCATTTCTGCTGATGTTGCCGTTTTCTTTCGTACAATTCCTTGACGTCGGGCTACGCTACCACTATCACGGTAACGAGCGGTGGTACGAGATACAAAAGATTCATTCACATTAAATGCTGGAGTGCTATAACGATAGCCACTTGTGGTTTTCCAACCAAATATAAAGAAATCACACTATCACGCTTGAATTGCATAACGAATAACTTTTTTTCTCGAAAAGTCTCACCAAAATTCTTTTGTACGCTTGTAAACAATAGAATAAGCTGTCACTGGAATAGTTTTAACAGCTATTGGACGAGTGGCTTAGAAATGACAGCAGTCTGAAGTTGTTGCAGTTTTTTCATCTCACACTATATATATTTCAAACTATAGAGGACCCCTTGTAATTGGCCTACTAAACTGAAACTCCAACGAGTTTTATCAACTGTGCATTTTCCACAACCTAGACTGGACATTTTCAGCGAATTGGGAAAAAGTCCTAAATTTAAAAATTCTAATACACAATGGTATATCATTTGTTCCCCTTATAATTAAGGGTATAAAGATTTTGGTCAGGCAAAGGTTAACGCTCTCTTACTCTTTACACGATGGTTGTCTATTAATTTTGCTATTCAGTGTGTAAAATTCTTATCAGAGTAAAATTCTATATCGATTTAGCTTTTTTATTCTCCCCAAGATTTTTATACCCTACAACACTTTGTGTTGGGGGTATTATAAGTTTGATTGGGCCAAAAATTATGTAACACCACGAAATATTGGTTTCCCACATAGGAAAGTATATATGGATCTTCTTATCTCGCCGAGCTGAGTTGATCTAGCTATGTATGTCCGTCCATTCGTCTGTCCATGTTAATTTGTAATCACTCTACAGGTCGCAAATATGGCCCGATCTTCACGAAATTTAGAATGGAGGTGGGGCTAGGGTCAGAATAGAACCCTATTTCATTTGGAGATGATCGGATAATATTTAGGGGTTGAAATGGACCAAAAACTGAAAAAAATCCTGATTTTGCAGTTGCTCTACAGGTCGCAATTATAGACCAATCGACGCGGAAGTTAGTATAGGGCTAGAGCTTAGGGCTGGGAAGAAGCCTTCCAATTTTGATGGTCATTAATATTTAGTAATATTTAGTTGGTGAAACAGACCATAACATTTGTGTTAAATAAAAGTCAAATTTTTCATTAAACCGCGAATATTTTTAATCCCTGCGAAATCACAAATAGACGAACAGGTCAATTCTTACCATTACGTAGTTGCCGATAGCAAATATATCGGATGTATATAGCGAAATATATACAATATATATATACAAAGGAAGGGGATGTTAGCTAGAATTTTTATAACTCAAGAATGGCTGGACCGATTTTGACAAATTTTGTCAATTTATAATGTCCTCTTGTCTTAAAAGTATAACATCTAAAAATATCGCATAAAAAGATGCCATTAATGATGTTATTATAGATTTTGTAGTATTTTGTGAATTTTTTTTTTATTTTTTCAAATTTTTTATCGCTTGCAATTTTTTCATTTTGACTCATAATATTGAAGTGTATATTTTGTAATTTTTTCACCTTACAACACAGGTTGGGGTTATTATATTCATATTGCAATTATCCTCATGAACATTTTCATAGGGGTAGGGTTAGGCTTAGAAGGGCTAGGCCAATTATTTTTAAATATGTCCGCCATATATTTAGGGGTTGAAACGGACCAACAAATAAACATGTTCCGGATTTTTCAGCCATTCTAAAGGTCACAAATAGAAACCAAAGGACACGAAATATCGCATGAAGTTAGAGTTTAGGACAGCGGGTAGAATGGACCACTACTTTTGTGTGAAAAAATACCAACATTGCTTTCAGATGATATCCGAAATACAAAAAAGGCGAACTTCTGGCTTTTTATGCTGATTTCGTTGACGTATATAGCCAAACATCATAGACAAGCAAATCAAATAGATGAGTCTAAATTTGGAGATACAGAGGGGTCTCTTTCACTTTGAGATGAAAGTACTTAGGGGTTCAAATGAACCAAAAACCGAAAAAATGTCCTGATCACACAATTGAAGCCAATGGACACGCCTGAGAAGGGAGTTAAGGACAGGGAAGATTTCTAGCATTTTGGATTACATTTAGCTGTAAAATGAACCACAACAACTTACAGCACGACGGAGTGCGTAAATATTGGGCAAATGTCCCTGGTCAAATGCTAAGGGTAATATCTGGGCAGTGCTCCGTGACATAATTTCAAAAGCGAAATCTTACAACATGGATTTGGACATAAGGGGGCTTCTAACATATTGTAGTGTTGTAGGGTATCACATGGTCGACCCCGCACGACTATAGCCTTTGCTTACTTGTTTTTTTTTTTATTTTTTAGGACCGACTTTTGACTTTAATACGATATGGGTGTTCTTACGATTACCAGGAATTTTAACATTTTTATCAGCATTTTCCAGCCAAATTAGCATTATATCAATTTTTTCAAATCTTAACTGTTATAGCACATCATTCCAAACAGTTGAAATATTTCTAAATATTAGCCTGAGAAAAAAAAACCATTTAATTCAATATAGTAAGTAAAATTAATTAATTGAACTTAAATTAATTCGAGATATTTTTCCAATTTTTAAGATTATACCCTTTTTTGTATGAGGACATTCTGATAGCCCCAGATACTAAGTTTTCATTATTAACGTTATTATATTGTTATATACATTATAGACTTGTTTAGGGAATTAAGACACCTTAAGTGGTTTCTAGTACTTTCGTTCTAACAAGGCAAAATTTTCAGCCTTCATAATGGCTGCTGTGCGTTCGTCAAATACTTATTTTATCCCACCGTCCCATTATATCCATGCCTTGAAATCTCATTTAATATCCACCTCTTCGATGAGTAGCAAAGGCGTAATAATGTTAGGACAACCCAAATGGGTAAAGTGTGTATGATAAATTTCACGTTTTGTTACGAGCAATTGAATATTTGAGTGTCCTTTCACAGAAGGGTGGGGAGGGTTGACGTTAATAGTTTTACACACAACACGACCGTTAACAATGCAATGACGGTGAATTAATTGTTCGGATCATTGTTTTGATAATTTAACAGAGACGTCCACTCGTAAGTCATGGGAATATGCCCAATGACACAATCTCACTTACCGTAGCCCCTTCAACTTAAGTGAATCATTAAATCGCATCAAATGTAACGAATTTTACGTAATTTGTTTTTTTTTTTAATTTTATAAAAAAGGAAGTTTATTATTTGTTAGCAATACCATGAAATTACAATCGTACACACTGTTACACATAAATATAGAGATATACTTAAACGTAAGTCTTGAGAATATTTCGTATTTTATTTATTTGTTGTTTTTTGCAATTGCACTTAAAATCTACGCTTGGTCAAATTCCACTGTCACACCCACCGGCAATTCCTCCTGTACTTCGGGTGCATGTACTTTTCCTGAGACCAAAATAAAATCTGATTCACAGTCCATTACGAAATACAAGAATGGATGGGTAATTTCAAACATCTCCAATGGTTCTTCGGTCTTGTTGCGAGCTTCGGCATTGGCTGCCGTTAGACCAATCACCGAATTGCCACCTTCATCGACACGTACATTAACGAATTGAACAATTTCATCGACGTGTAAATCACGGTCGTCGGACAGTAGGCTGAGATCAGCTTCACTGCGTGAGAAAATCTTCGTGAGACCCAATCCCTTGAGCATTGACTCCGAACGAGATGTTTCTTCGATTTGGAATTTTGGTAAGACAACATGTAAATCACGTTCTTGCATTAGGTTTTTAACTTTCTTAAAGTCTTCCGGCTGCATTTTCTGTATCAATGTGTGAAGGCCCTCCAATTCGTTGGGCAGTACAATCATGAGGGAGTATTTTTTGTTCTGGAATGAAAGAAAACGACAAATTTGTGCTATAAAAATGAGAAGCTTTAAATATAATTTTTAAGATTTTAAGATTAAGATTTTAGAGTAAGGAGTATTCTTGCCTAGAAAAAAGTACAAAATGGTACTACATTTAGTATATGACGAGAGTATTTGATGTTATGTAGGATTCGAAAAAATGTATTTAAATATCTAAAAAAAAATTATTGTATTGATATTTGATATTTACTGTGCAACACAAAAAAAAATCCAGCAGATTATTAAAGTAGAGCTAAAAAAGAAGACACATGTATCGGCATTTTGAAAGCTTACATTGCCCCTCTTCGACACTTTTGGAAACTTTCGGATTAATATTCCTCGGAATTTTAGGTATATAGTGTCTTCGGCAATATTGCAGATAAAAATAACCCTCAAGCGAGTAAAAAGAGGACTTTTTAACTATAAATTTAACACAATAAATTTTCGAATTAACCATATATCCAGGTACAATATTTTTTATGAAAATTACATTCAAAATGTATTTACTAAAAGTAACATTTATGTGTTTGCTTTTCTTATTGTTAATTTAACACGTATTTAATCCGAGTCAAAATCAACCTTTAAAGTTATTATTTTTGGGGAAAATGACGAAGTATGATTTTTTTAATTAATTTCTGAAAAATTTAGAACTTTTGTCCGATTTGCTAACTTTTTTAATTTCACTGCACAATATCCAGTCTGGGTTGTGGAAAATGTAAAGTGGGCTTGATAGTACATCTTCACACCAGATCTTGTATTAGCAAAAATGTTTGCATGTGAAATTTGAAGAGAGTTGGATGCTTATTTCACTCTCTTTGAGCGTTTTGTTTTTCAAAATCTTGAATTCTATGTGTGGCATGTAGCAAAAGGAATAGTCTGATCTCTACCATCTTTATAACAGATCTTGTGTTGATGGAAATATTGAGATGTACCAAGTCCGGAAGGAAATCGGATATTAATTTCGCGTTTTATAAACTTCATGGGTATTAAAAATTTTTAGCCTTTTTGGGGGATGTACCAGAAGAAGTGGACCGATATATCCCATCTTCACAACAGATCTTGCTTTAGTAGAAATAATAGGATGTGTGAAATTCTAAGACAATCGGATTCTTAAATCACATTTTATAAGAGGTATAATTATTCAAAATTTTGACCCTTTGTGAGGGAGGTATTTGATGGAGTGGTCCGATTTTATTTATGTTTGTACCTGACCTAGAACTGAGGCAAATATTGGGATTTGCAAAGTTGGAGCACAATGTCTTTCTGTGTAGAAAAAATATTTTTTTTTTAAATTTCGACCTTTTGTGGGGGAGGTACCAGAAGGATTGGTCCCATGTATTCCATCTTAACACCAGACCTTGGGTTAATAAAATTATTGGGATGTGTACAATTTGAAGACAATCGGACTCTTCCATCACATTTTATAATATTTGTAATTATTCAAAAATTTGAATCTTTGCGGGGGAGGTACTTGATGGAGTGGACCGATATTGTCCATTTTTGCACCTGACCTAGCACTGACGCAAATATTAGGATTTGCAAAGTGGGAGCAAAATCGGTTTATCGTTTCTCTTTCTGTGCAAAAAATATTTTTTGAAAATTTCGACCTTTGTCGGTCGAAGGAGCGGACCGATATATTCTACCTTAACACCAGACCTTTGGTTCATACAAATATTTGGATGTGTGAAATTTGATAATCGTTTCTTCTTCTGTGCAGAAAATATAATTTTTTTGAAATTTTCGACTTTTTATGGGGGAGGTGCCAGAAGGAATGGAATATTTCCCATCTCCGAACTAGATCTAAGTTTGACAAAAATATTACGATGTACCAAGTTTGGACCAAATCGGATACTCCCTTCGAGATTTATCGTGGGCACCAGACAACCAGACAGGCGGACGGACGGAAACGAATTTGGTCCAAAGAGACCTAGTGTCTAAAACCGCTATTTCGACTAGGCACGTTTTGCCGTATCAAATTATAAATTCCTTCTCTAGCCATATGACTGATGGTATAAAAAGTGACCTAGAAATATACTAAGCTAAAGGCAATATTTTAATAATAAATTGCTAAATTATTTCCTAATTTGATATATTTGTTTTAACATATAACCTTGGACGTATACAAATTTACCGGCATTTTTGTGTACACTTAATAGGGAAAATAGATTTTTTTGCTCCTAAATGCGTTTGCACAAAATCCATTTAACAAGAATTTGTGTTGATCCACCCTCCCTGATTTTTTTAATAGAAACCAGTTAAAATGTGTACTCAACTAGTGTACATCTACATCATAGGGTCGAAATCACAATTCTATAAAACATTTACAAAAAATATATAACTTACCTCATAAGGCAAACACAAGACTTTAGCATTCAAGTCACTTAATTCGGCCATATAGAATTTACCCATCGAATGCATCATGGGCGTCTTCATGGCATCATCTTCGGTCATGAAGAAGAATTCTTCGGCATTTGGTTGTTCATGGAAACTGTTAGCCCAATTGCCACGATAGTACAAACCATTGAACAATAACATTTTGGTTTTAGAGCCAATATCACGACCTGTAATCGAATTGGCACTTAAAGCCGATGCAATATCATCACGTTGGAAGAGGCTGCGACCTCCAAAGGCCTGGGAAAGAATAAAATACAAAGATTAGTTTTTTATATTAACTTTTATCTTCGCTGTAGTCATCATTTTTCTACTTACACTTCGTGCTGCACTAACATGCGATTCCAAGGCCAACATTATTTCAGCTGGTGAACTCTTTGAGGCATCGTCTAACACAGTTTCCAGTTTTTCCAGTGGCAATGAAACTTTTTCGGGTTCATTGGACTCTAGCACTTCTTGTATGGGAATGATGTTATCGTCATCCTCAGCATCTTTGTAATTTTTCAACATTTTCTCTTTGTCCTGCACTGTTTCATTTTCCTCCAAGTTTAAGTCATCCTCACGTTTTGTGAGACCAGCTATATCGCTGGAGGCATCTTCTTGGTCAGCAATGGCAGCAGCTGGTTTTTCATCAAGAGTTTCTAGTTTTTCGCCTGTAGTTGTACCAGCATCAGATTCTGTGGTATGTTTCTCCTCTTCTTCTTTTTCTGCTTGTTGTTGTTGCTGTTGTTCCCCAATCGACATATCTTGTTCTGATAATTTTTCTTTTTCCTTTTGCAATTCTTCAATGATTTCAGGTTTTTCCACATACTGCTTATCATCAACGTAACGATCAAATTTCGATGTTTCCTTTTCAATGAACTCTTCCCCATAGCCATCGGTATAGGCACCAACTGTGGTCAAACCCAAGCCCAGCTCATCATCGTCGTCATCGATCTTCAAACGTTTCAATGTTTCGAAGCCAATGACATCTTTGCTATTGCTGGCCGTGGTTGGGCCATCCAAATCCAATGAAGTATTCGGTTCACTCCAATCGTAATCATCACGATTGATGTCTTTCACATCCACCAAATAATAGTCTTGAACAAGTTGTTTGAAATCATCACGGGCCGAGAAGTTACGATAGATGTACAACCAAGATTGGAACGAGGGCTCATCATTGTATTTCTTTGCTTCATATTTGGATAGAATTGCTTTGAATGAATCACGCAAGGCAGACTTTTCTTTGGGATAACCTAGAACTTTGAAGAATTCATCGTAGGTGTCACCCTGTGAAGCTTCGGCCAATATGGCCAACATTGTTGTCACACCCAAGGGTGAGTGAACTTGATTGCCATCGATATCGTTGAAAGATTTCAGCAAATGTGTAGCAATAATTTGCGATGCCTCACTGGCATAGGATGTTGATTTTTGTTCTGCATCAGTTTTGGTGGGTAAAGCCGCACAGAAGCTTAAGCCAAGCAAAACCAGCACTGAAAAAAAAACACAAAATACAATTTAAGTGAAATTATGTCAAAATAAAAATCTTTTAAGTTAAACTAAGTCGGTTTGCTCTCTTCATGGGACCGTCACCATGAAAACTAATTTGATATTGAAAATGGGTGCAAATATCAAATTAAAATATATTTGGGTGGACAATTAACTAAGTTCCACGAATTTACATTACATCGGCCCACCCGACTTTTGACTTGAACCAGTCAAAAAAGCGTTTTATGTATTCTCACCTTAAATCATACGAACCATTCTCGTTTTTAAATGTGTATTATTGCTTTAGAGCAGTTATAATTTGAAAACAAAAGTAATTTATATTTGGGAGGTATATCCTACTCTGAATCGATTTCCAGTAAATTTGACGGGAGTTTTGCACCTCTCTACTTGGAGAACGTTTAAAATAAAACATATATTTCGTTGATATAGCTATATCTAATCCAATTTTCGCAAAACTCCACTCCAATTCAACTGATATTACCATTTGAAAAATATATTGGAGATATATCCAAATCTGAATCGATCTCTAAAAAAAATTTGCAGAGGTATTTGTATGCTGTGTCTGATAGCTCACACAAAATATCGTTGTTTAACACGGCATTTTATTGGTGTGGGGGACTTAAATACAAAATCGATAATACTATGAATCTATAGCAATATCTGCACCGATTTTTGCCAAATTGGACACACTTTCTTCCAGGCTGAACTCGGTCGTATAAGCCAAACCCTACTTGGGTTAATATTAACCATTTGGTGTACAATAAACTTAAAATTGCATAAATGTTTATATGGGATAAAAATCTAAAGAAAATGTTGCAAAGGTATTTTTGAGCTATATGAGATATCTGGTACCAAATTTCATTGTTTTAAAGTGCATATTGCGAATGTGAGAGAGTTAAAAACTTAATCGGATTAATTATTTATATGGGAGCTATAGATATAACTGAACAGATTCTCACCAAGATGCGTATGGAAGCTATATCCAGATCTGAACCTATCTTGTAAAATAAAGTAAATAGAGAATTCAATCATACACGCTATGATTATAATTATAATTTAAAGTTCAAAGGACTAAATATGCCGAAGCATATATATCATTTAAATTCGGACTTGTATTGCCCATTTGGTGCACAATTAATTTGAAATCGGATAAAAATAGATATGGGAGCTATATCCAAATCGGTATTTAATATATTTCCCTAAATATCGCTGTTACGGAGTGCATATTACGGCTGTGAGTAACAAATATAACAAATCGGATGAACAGTATATTGGGAGCTATAGCCATATCTGAACCGATCTTCACCAAATTTGGCATACTAGCTTCTAGACTAAATTCGGTCATAAGTGCCAAATTCCATCCCATTTGGACAAATATTAGACGTTTGGTGCACAATATAAGGTAAATCTGACGAAGTTATATATGGAAGATATATCCAAATCTGAACCGATCTCGATAAAATTTGGCACATGTATTTCTGGGCTCTATTTGATATATTTCCCCAAATATTGTTGTAACAGAGTGCATATTACGGCTGCGGAGGATGAACAATATATATGGGAGCTATAGCTATATCTTAACCGATTTCGTTCAAATTTGGCCTAATCGATCGATCTTATTTTCAGGCCTAGTTTTGTATATGCAAAATTTCATACTATTCGGGCTGATATTACACGTTTGGTGCACAATAAAAGGCAAATCGGAAGAAGATATATATGGGAGCTATATCTAAATTTTGACCGATTATCTCCAATTTCAATAGGGTTCGTCCAAATGATTTGTGCAAAATTTCATCTGGATAGGACAAAATTTGCGAACTGTACTTTGTTTACAAAAATACATGGACAGACGGAAGGACATGCATAAATCGACTGAGAATGTGATTCTATGCAGATCATCAAAAGGAACTATGGGTCTATCTCGTTTCCTTTTGCCTGTTACAAACAAATGCACATAGACATAATAAATATAATATAAAAATATATGGGGCACCAAGAAATTGAAACCGGACAGTAGGGTTTATCCTTGAGCCAAATTAATTTGTGGAAACTTTACAAAAATACATAGACAGACGGACGGGCATGCATAAATCGACTCAGAATGTGATTCTATGAAGATCATCAAAAGGTACTATGGGTCTATTTTGTTTCCTTCTGCATGTTACAAACGAGTGCACAAAGACATAATACCATGTACAACATTTTAGACCAGAGTCCATGATTGGTTCCAAACTCCGGAATAAATCAATTTTTTTCCAATCTTGGTCTAGTCCAATAAACGCCAAGGAGGTTCTTGGAACATACACAAATCGAACAAATATTGTCTAACTAACTCCCAGCGCTAATGGTCAGTCAAAAACGCTTTTCATCATAACTAAGGTTGTATACCTCATACTTGTTTTAATGAAATTCGTTTTCGAAACAGTTCGTCTTTTACCGTTAGAATTTCTCGAGTCAGACCGAAATTTACATGTCGTGATATATTTATCAAAACTTTCTTTGTAAAAATGGAATAATTTTTAATGATTTTTTCCGATATAGGTTGTAAGGTTTTCATATGTAGTCCAAACTTCCGTTGTTTGATTTCGTCTGACCACTCTTCTTGGAACCACTATTTGAATATAAAACAAAAGAAAACACATTTTCAATAAAATTTTTATACCCTACAACAGTATGTGTTGGGGGTAATATAAGTTTGATTGGTTCAAAAAATATGTAACAACTCGAAATATTGAAATATTTCCCACATAGGAAAGTATGTATGGATCTTTCTAACTCGCCGAACTCAGTCGATCTAGCTATGTATGTCCGTCCGTCCGTCTGTCCGTCTGTTCATGTTAAATTGTAATAACTCAACAGGTCGCAATTATGGCCCGATCTTCACGAAATTTAGAATGGAGGTGGGCTAGGGCCAGGTAATATTTAGTGGGTAGACCATAACATTTGTGTTAAATAAAAGTCAAATTTTCCATTAAACCGCGAATATTTGTAATCCCTGCGAAAACACAAATAGACGAAAAGATCAATTCTGACCGTTACGTAGATGACGATATATATATATATAGCGAAATCTATACAAAGGAAGGGGATGTTAGCGGACCGATTTGACAAATTTTGTCAATTCAGAATGCCCTCTTGGCATAAAAGAATAAAATCTACAAAAATCGCATAAAAAGATGCCAATAAAGATGTTAATATAGATTTTGAAGTATTTTGTGATTTTTTCAATTTGATTTATTATATTGAATAATACATTTTGTAATTATTTTTATCTTTCAACACAAGTTGGGGTTATCATATACAGATTGTAATTATCGTCCGATCCTTACAAAAATTTTCATAAGGGTAGGATTTGGCTCAGTGGGGCTAAGCCTATTATTTTTAAGGATGTCCGCAATATTTTTTGGGGCTGAAATGAACAAACAACTAAAAAAGGTCGTAATTTTACAACCGTTATAAAGGTCACAAATAGAAAACAAAGGACACGAAATAAAGGTAGAATGGCCCACTACTTTTGTGCCAAAAAAATACCAACATTTCGATTCTACGGAAACGCTGAAAATAACTTACAGGCGAAATCCAAAATACACAAGTAGCACACATCTAGCTTTTTTATGCTGATTTCGTTGATGAATATATCGTAGACCAATAGACAAGCAAATCATAAAGATGAGTCTACATTTGGAGATACAGAAGGGTATCTTTCTTTTGGAGATGATCGCAAAATATTTAGGGATTCAAAAGAACCAAAAACGGAAAAATGTTCCTGATCACACAATTGATATCTGTAACTAACAGCACGACGAAGTGTGTAAATATTAGGCAAATGTCCCTGGTCAAAAAACTAAGGGTAATATCAGGGCAGTGATCTATGACATAATTTCAAAAGCGAAATCTTCCAAATAAATTTGGACATAAGGGGACTTCTACCATTTTGTAGGGTTTCACATAGTCGGTTCCGCACGACTGTAGCCTTTGCTTACTTGTTTTAGTTTTAGATTTTTTTTAAAAAATTAAATGAGGCACGCAAAGAATAATTTCTTCCGAATTCATTTTCGAACAGTAATACTAAAATACAGGTCCATATTTAATGTAGGAGAAATTTAGTACTATTATACTATATTTCAAACCCGAATTTATGTATACTTTGACTGTTTAATAAGTTTAAATGAATATATATCCGGTATTTACAAAATATACAAACATGTGTCTAAATTCTAAACCCTCGAGCATGAAGTTTTATTCACAATTACGATAAAAATACATAATCAAATTCTAAAGCAACTTATTAATTATTTTTATTATAACTCCGTAAGCCCAATTATTTTTTATTCTAAAATCCGAAGGATTTTTTCAGACATATTTGGTGGAATATGTAGTCTATTTCCAAAATTATAGAGACTGCCTAAAATATTGGAGACTCTGTTTGAAAATTTTACTGTTATTAAAACTATATGGGGTCTCAGGCGAATATATTGATATATTGCCAACGGAATGGCAAATTCTTTTGTTTTTCATTCATTTCAGTTATTTTAATTTTTCAATTTATTTTTAATTTCTGAAAATATTTTTATCGAATAAAAATATTGTTAGTCCTTACATGTTGTAGCTCACATGAAAATATTTTTATTACACGCTCAACTTTGAAACTATATATGTTTTATAGAATTTATATTAATCCATGATTTACACTACAACTATGTGAAAATTCATGACATTTATTGGCATTTTCCAGAAAGATTTTGTAATATATATTTTTTTCTTGTTCCACAAATGTTCCCATTCGATGTTATTGCACTTTATCCATATTCACTTACAAGCTTGCAAAACTCTCATTTTAACAATTTCTTCTGATTTGACAAATTTCTTTATGCCGAATAATTTCTCTTTACTATAGCGACACGTTAAAGTTTACGTTACCACGTCTCGAACACAAATGAAGAATATGAAAGTAGCTCAAAGATTTTTATGAAAATCTCCGAAAGACATCAGAGCACCAGCAACAAAGCGCCAATGCAAAAGAAAGAACGAAAAAAAAATAAGAACTCAAGCCAAGACTTGGTGCTTGGTTACTCAGTAGCAGTGGTCGGTCGTAGCTGTGCCAGACAACAATACATGTTGGGTTGTTGTGAAACAAATCAACAACTGGAAAATAAATGTTAAAGCCAAGGTAACCACCAGGCTGCCTCACTGATTGACCAAAACACAAAGTGGCCCAAAGAGAACAATAAGCGGTGTCTCGAGAGTCCACCAAAGATATTTAGAGAGCAATGAGAGACTCAATCTGGTCTTGGTCAATGTTGTTTTTGTATGTGTTTGTCATTTACACATTCACAACATCATAATGATGATGTTTTAATTTGTTTGTTCAATAATGATGTTCGGGTTGGTGGCAGTGACTTGGCTACCCATAATTTTTGGCCCCGTTTGAAATACAGACTTTTTTGTTTTTATTTTTGTAACCATGGTTAGAAAGTGAAGCAGACAGCGCCGTACTCAATATTTGTTTATTCGAATAAATGAAAGTGATATTACCATATTCATGCTATCGAATACATCAACCCTTCTTTTTCTGTGTCGAAATCCCACCGAAATTCATTAAAACTCATCAAAACAGAGTTAATTTCATGAATGTAAGCAGTGCTAGGTGGAATATAGGTCATGTCTTTTACAGTTGTTGTGGTTCTTTGTTTATTTTTGGTAAAGATTTTATGTCTTGTCAAAAGTTCAAAGCCATAACTTTTTATTTCATGTTTTCTGTTGTTGTTGTTGTTTCTTTATCGTAGTATAGTTATTTTTTTCCTGCTATACCCTACAATAAGTAGCATAAGTATTTTTCCTTAAGTAATTAAGGTAAAATGATAGTTCTAAAATAAATATTGTTTTAATTAGATGATAGCTAACTATCTATATATATAAATGTAAGTTGTGTTAGTTACTACGCTTATAACTCAAGAACCGCTGATCTGATTTTAACGATTCATACAAATTCTGAATTGTCTCTTTTCCGAAAAGGATAATATTCAAAAAAATCGCGTAAAAATGTGATATATTAACATTTTCATTTTGACTTCTGAAATGTACAATCGTAATGTTTTATTTTGTATGTTTTTTTTTTCATTTTGACTTACTTTTTTCGAATGTACATTTGTAGTGTTTTTTATAATATTTTTTTTTCTTTTTGATTCGAATATTAATACCAATTTATTTTGACTCGATTTCTTGAGATCTGAAATAGAAGCCGGGTTACATTGAAGTGTAGTACCAAATTATGTGGTGGCGAAACGAAATAGATGTTATCGAAATAATTTAACGCGGTCACACCATATTTAAGTCAAAATTTCTAAAAATCTTGAAAAAAGAGATCTCATTGCAAAAATTCTCAAATCGGGGAAAAATTACATAAGGTATAAATAAAGAACGGCTTGACAATTCATACAATTTTAGAATGGTATCCAATAAAATTAATAAAAAATTTCTTTTTGGTGTGATTTGTTTCAATTTGACATACTATATTGAAGTGAACATTTTTTATTGCCTTGAAATCTGAATGAATAATATTTAAAATAAAACGAGTGACCTACGTGGACCTACATCTTTCATATGGCAATAATCCGCCCAATGAGAACTCAAAATGCAATTCATTGGAACTGCAGTCAGTGAAATACCGAATATAAAGGGTGCAAAATGGTAGAGCGAATTGGACATTTAGGAAAAAAGAAACTTTCAAGATGTCTTAAATCGCTTTTGCAGGTCATGATATATGACCCCCGGATAAGGGTACAACCCTATTTCAAGTATTGTTTACATTTTAACCACATTTTTCTTACACTCATTTTAATTTGATAAGAAACCATCCTCGCAAAATATGATCATGTTTTGGTATAACCATCATATAATTTAAGCCATGTTCGGGGTCTTCGACATTTTTTTCATCTTTAGGCCTTTATTTGGCATCTTTGTTTCTAAGGGTGTAAAAACCTCTTCTCATAACATTTTCAATTTTCGGAGTAGAGTCCATCTTGGTCTTGACCACATTCATCAATTGATTTGGCTAAAAAATTGTATTTAGGCAACTCTGGGGTAGAGAATCGTCCCTCAGATAATTGTCCACATAGGCATTTATTCGAATATAGTTCTCACATTAGTGTACCCACAAATCCGCTTTCCTAACCAATGTTTGGTCAGAAAAGAAAATTTGATATACTATTGAATTTGAAACTCCAAAGAGAATATTGGTTGGGAACGTAGATGTGGGATTAACATCTACATGCCATAAACTCCGAAATATCAAATTGTGGCAGAAACATTAAAAAATCACGAATATTAATTTTTTTGTTCGTTATTGAATTATACTATGATGAAAAATATGGACTTTATGGGTTCTCCAACTCACAATTTAAATGACAAAAATAAATTAATTAATATTTCACGGTAATGGGTGTAAAAAAGCAATTATCTTTGACTATTTTGAAATCATTCCGCCCTCAATTATGAGGTGGACAAAACTAAATACCACGCAGCACGGTATTCTTAACATTGGAAATTCAATACCAAAAATTTAGCTGAGTTTTCACATGGGGCTATTATAGAAGTTCTATATCATACAGGTTTTTAACACTCAATTATAGCCTTAGGCTGAAAAATAAGATCAGGCTATTCAAAATATCTAAAACCGACGGTAGATTATTATCTATTATAATTTTTCCCATGAATGTTTATTTCTATTTAGAAATTACTATGGAGTTATTTTACTTATAATAAAAATTGTGCCGCTTTCATAATTCTATAATGCTTAAAAAAATATACATTATAGACTAAAAGTAGGGGCCGCAACGCGGACCGGGCCAGCTAGTGTTTTATATTGCATACTTTTTTCATGTTGACTTACTTCTTTCGAATGTACATTTGTAGTGATTTTTACTTTTTGAATTCTAATGTGATGCGTAGTATTCTTTGGGTGTTATAAAGCGGCAACGGACAAAACTGATATTTATAGATTTTATGTATTTATTGGATAAGTGGAACTAAATGAATAATAAATTGAATTGAGTCGATTTTTTTGATAACGGAAATTGCAGATGGGTTACATTAAAGTGTTGTACCGAATGACGTGATGTCAAAAGTCGAAATAATTTAACTCGCGTCACACCAAAGTTAAAAGATATTTAATATTTTAAAATCCCTAAAATATCACGAAATAGAGAGACTATCTCATTGCAAAAGTTCTACAGTCGGGAAAAAATCAAGAAACAAATTTTAATGGAATCGAATTTAAAAATTATAGCCCATTTTATTGGCAAAGGTCCTTTAATATTTTCTTTAAAAAAATTCACTAACAAGTTGAAAATTTTTTCTTTTTCAATTTGTTTTTTTTTGTCAATTTTATGCAATGTACCTTTTTAATTTGACTTATCATATTGAATTTAAACTTTTTTTGGTAAACAAAATAAAGAATGATTTTTACCATACATAAACATTTAAAAATTTGTTACTTTTATACTTATGAACAATTCACACCATTACAGAATGATCTCTTGGCAGAAAAGGATAAAATCCAAAACTAAATAAATTGGGTAAAAATATGCCAATAAAAATGATAATAAATAATATTTTTGCCACCCCTATATTTTTCAAAAATTTTTGTCATTTTTGACAAGCTATTTTTCGCATTTATTATTCGATTGAGATGAAATTGTCCAAATAACATTTGTATGGCTGAAGGAAGAACCCTATTGAAATTTGTAAAAATCGGCATAATTAAGATATAGCTCGCATATATATCTACGACCGATTTCAGGTTTATTGTGGCCCAAATTGCTAATATTAGTCCAAATGGAGTGAATTTTGGCATTTCCGACCGAATTTAGTATAGAAATGAGTACTTTAAATTTGATAAAAAACGGTTCATCTGATTTGGTGTTTAAGTCCCTCAAATTCGTAAAATGCACTTTATAAGAATAATATTTGGTATCAGATATCAGATACAGCCAAGAAAAAGCTGTTTTCAATTTTATAAAAATCGGTTCGGATTTGGATATAGCTCCCATACATATCATTATCCGATTTCAGGTTTATTGTGCACCAAATGGCTAATAATAGCCCAAATGGAATGAATTTTCAACCGAGTTGAGCACAGAAGCAAGAATTTTAAATTTGTTCCTATCTATATGTTTTATCCGATTTGGTGTTTAAATCTCCAACTTTCGGAATATCCACTCTACAATAATGATATTTTGTACCAGATATCTCATAGAGCTCAGAAATTGCAATATAAACCTTTCTTTTACAAGAGTTCTACTAAATATGCATAGTGGTGTAGGGTATCATATATTCGACACTGCCCGACTTTTGAGCTTTCCTTACTGGATTTTTTGTGTGTGTTTGAATTTTGAATGAAAGATGATGAAAATGAAATTAGTGTACAATGCGATGTTAAATGAGTATCTTTTTTGACTAGAATCGACATCTAACTTTCCAACCCCAGGACCTATATCTATACATTCAAACAAAAACATGGCCGACACAGTTCATATCAAAACTTCAAATTCATTCGAATTGCAATCAGTGAAATACTGATTAGAAAGAGGTATTGCATTATGAGGACTATACGAAATAGTAATGCCAATTAAAAAACAAGTAAAAAAACGTTAAGGGCCGAACTTTTAATACCCATTATGACACATAAATACCAATTTTTAGACATATTCAGGGAAAATGTGGCAAAAATCATCAAAATGTCGAATAACGGGAGGTACCGTTATATGGGGACTATACCAAATCGTGGACTTATACATGCAATGTTGGGCCACCGGAGCTAGAACCCATTATGAACTACAAATACCAAGTTTTAGACAAATCCGTGAAAAAATGTGGCAAAAATCATCAAAATACCGAATATCGGGAGGTACTGTTATATGTTGGCTACACCAAAGCGTGGACCTATACATACAGTGTTTCGCCACACGAACTAGGACCTATTTTGACCCACAAATACCAATTTTCAGACAAATCTGTGAAAAAATGTGGCAAAAATCATTAAAATACCCAATATTGGGGGTTACCGTTACATAAGGACTATACCAAAACGTGGAA